AGTGCTGATTAGTTGGCATTACTGCTACTGAGTGCTGACTGGTTGGCATTATTGCTACTGAGTGCTGATTAGTTGGCATTACTGCTACTGAGTGCTGACTGGTTAGCATTATTGCTACTGAGTGCTGACTGGTTAGCATGCCACTGATTTGTTGGTGAGCTGATCAGCTTATTGGCTGAGTAAAGTGGTTCACACTCACTGATGTCATGAATGTACATAAGATGCTATGAGAAAGTCGTATAACGGCACTTCAGAAGCGCTCAAAATGTAAACCGAACGCAAATATAATTCATCGTGTAACTCATTACGTAATCAGATTCAAACAGTACAGCAAAATGACAATATCTGTAGAATAAGGGTCACATAAACGGCATCAACAACAAGAACCCACAATCAGTCGACTAATCAGTGCAGCGCTAGCTCTGTACACTCCTCGGCTGAGCAGAAATCCACGGAGCCTCCCTACAGACCACAGTGACATTCAGCACTGCTCACGCTAACATTAGCATGCACGGTATCCACTCTCTCCGCTCTTCGACTCCCTCCCTTCACACACACTTGGCCACGCTTTGAAACGAGATGAATCGCGAGCGTAATGAGTGAGTGTGCTCATACATTTTGCAGTGTTGAAGCTGAAGTAAGTGTCTCCATTTAATCAAAGCACCCACACGAGTGGGTCAGCGCAGCGGAACGTGTGTGTGGGGATTGGATTAGAAAGTGAGGCTGACTCACCAACCCTCTTCCATCACCAAGTCTTAAGTCATTTAGACAGTTTTACTCAGAGGATGACTGGAGAAGGTTTCGCTAATGCTAACATTCCCTCTGTCTAACAGAATGGGTAAAGGAAGGCCTCGCTCTGACTCCAGCTTTGGCGCTGAGCTGAATTCTAATGCTAACGTAGGGTGTCAGACAGTGAGTGTAAATGTGGACGCAATGTTAATAGAGGAGAATGAATGTGATGGTCAGTCTGAATCTCTGGACTCCGGCCTCGCGGCCTTCGGTCTGACGGACGTTAGACCTGCAGTCTGCGATGTTCACTGAAGAGCTCAGCATCACGTCAAATCTGTAAGGCTGCACGTCTGCAAGCATACATGAAAAATGCTAATGAGAGGAGACTTCAGCTCGAGCCAACTCCATGGGTGATCTGACAGCTGGTCTAGTGAGAGGTTGAGGCATTAATTATAAAGGAATAACCAAACTAACAGCTAACAACAAATAAAAGCCAGCACGGCACAAAAGCCAGCAGTTATCACGATACTAACTAATGGGTTTTAGTAAGGCTGGGCGAACAATGTGCAACTTAAAATCATAACAGATTTTTAAAACGAAGAGCATCATAAACGTAATGTCAGTCTGACACAGAATTTCTAGTCTTTTTGTCGTCCTCACACTAGACGATCAGGTAAAGAGAGAGTATAACACACACTATAACAACTTCTTGCTGAGAATAAGATCTCAAACTCCCAGATCTCCTCAGATCACATGACACAAACAAAGCTGAACCTCCTGGACCGGACGTGTTTGTGCATTTATGTGTAGAGAAAGCACAAACTTGGGATGAATATGGATCTGAGAATCGCTGATATTGCAGTGAGAGCTGTAAAAATATTTCACTGCAAACGGGCAGCTGACTTGAAACTGTAAAGAGAGTGACCTGACGTCTGGATCAACATTATAAACATGATATCGATTCTTATGTGCCTGCGTTTGAATCACTCACTGAGTAAATCTCTGACCTTCTCGCACTGCAGGACTTGTGAACGTTTTGAGTTATAAATATCAAACGGTGGGACGGACGTCCAGCTTGAGTGTCTCAGAACACGACGTCTTCCTCTCTGCCTTCTTTAATAAGGACATGTGAAGGACGATTTCCTGACATCATTTTAAAGTAATTAAAAACACAAGCACTGCTCACTGCTGCTCATCTCACTCTGACTGGACTTACGTGATGCTTGTTGTCATGGTAACGTCTACACTAAGTGCTTCTCTATGCATGTGCATACTTTTGGATCTGATTACTTGTAGTGAGCATGTAAACAGATTTTCATCAGATTGTTGAGTAGAGTGAGCATAAACACCTCAGTCTTCATCTATAAACGGAATATATGCAATCGGATTGGAAAAATCTTTGCATGTAAACACAGCCAATGAGAAGTTATAGTCCAATTAAATTAAATGTTTAGTGTCTTTCTTCTTGAATGAGCAATCTGTGAGTATGCTTATGTTTTAGTAGCAGAAACTGATTAAAGGGCAAAACTGTCACTTCAAATCACTAAACACCTTTGTCAAGTACAGCAAAAGTAAATCTAGACAAAAAACTATGATAATTATCGGCACAGAGTTTATTTGATTCAAAGTATTGAAACTGCTAAACGTAAAGACAAATCATAACATATGAAAAAGCCAGATAATATAACCTTACTAGTAACAGGCGGGCTTTAGACTGATTTAAAACAGAGATTTGACAATTACTAAAATTGTTTGTTGCAGATCCAGTTTACATTCCATTAGCTTCAATTCGATTTTAGCTCTGTTAGCATTTGTGAATTAAACTACTCCTTGAAGTCGTTCTAACAGGTTCAATTACTGAATATGAACATTCACTAAAAAAGTCAAAGACAAAAATCTGTTGATTAGCTATTAACGTCAACGGTAACACCCGAGAGTGTTCTGCTAATGTGTATGCATCCAGAGAACCCCTTCTTTAATTGTGTAAGCTGAACGCCGTCACACGACAGCGGCCAAGCCGTCTGAGAGACAGAGGGGATTTGAGCTGCACCACTGATTTCACTAATAATGGCTGGGAAACGCCTGCGTCAGTTCGGCTGAGGTACCACTAAAGCCCCTTTAAGGCCTTAAAGCAAAAGTAAGTTTTTTCGGAGATTATAGAATTGCATGTTATAGTGACCCCAATTTCATCCAAAACAAATGTGTGTAAAACGCTGATATTTATGTTCTATAGAGCTAAATAAGCCTGGGGTCAAACTGACATCGGAGAACACTGATGCATACTGAAATACACCGATCAGGCGTAACATTATGACCACCTACTTGTTTCTACGCTCGTTGTCCATTTTATCAGCTCCACTTACTATAAAGGTGCACTTTGTAGTTCTACAGTTACAGACTGTAGTCCATCTGTTTCTCTGATACTTTGTTAGCCCCCTTTTACCCTGTTCTTCAGTGGTCAGGACCCCCATGGACCACCACAGAGCAGGTATTTGGGTGGTGGATCATTCTCAGCACTGCAGTAACGCTGAGGTGGTGGTGGTCTGTTAGCGTGTGTTGCGCTGGTCTGAGTGGATCAGACACAGCAGTGCTGCTGGAGTTTATAAACACCTCAGTGTCACTGCTGGACTGAGAATAGTCCACCAACCAAAAATATCCAGCCCACAGCGTCCTGTGGGCAGCGTCCTGTGACCACTGATGAAGGACTAGAGGATGACCAACACAAACTGTGCAGCAGCAGATGAGCTATCGTCTCTGACTTTACATCTACAAGGTGGACTGTCGAGGTAGGAGTGTCTAATAGAGTGGACAGTGAGTGGACACGGTGTTTAAAAACTCCAGCAGCACTGCTGTGTCTGATCCACTCGTACCAGCACAACACACACTAAACACACTACCACCACGTCAGTGTTACTGCAGTGCTGAGAATGATCCACCACCCAAATAGTACCTGCTCTGTGAGGGTCCATGGGGGTCCTGACCACTGAAGAACGTATATAGTAAGTGGAGCTGATAAAATGGACAATGAGTGTAGAAACACAGAGGTGGTCATAATGTTATGCCTGACTGGTGTATGCACAGAACACTGAAAACATGTCAATTTCTTGTTTACCCAGTCGCCCCCATTAAATTACGAAAGGTCATTAAATATGAAGAAAAAACCTGATGTAAATCAAGTACTTAGAGACGTTAAACACTGAATGGGGTCAAATTGACCTCAAACATAACAGGAGGGTTAATGTTCCTCCCATTCACTGCTCTGCAACATTTTCTCCCCATTCACTGTTCTAGAACAGGGGTCTCCAGGATCAAGGACCAGGACCATCTACCTTCCTGCAGAGCCTAGTTCCAACCACAATGTGCCACACCTGCTCCAGCTAATCAACCTCTTCCCAAGCCCCTGATTGGCTGGATCAGATGTGTTAGAGTTGAGTAAGGGGCGGGGCAGCTTACTGGATAAAGGGTGGAACTGAACTCTGCAGGTCTCCAGGACCAGGGATGGAGACCTCAGTTCTAGAATGTTCTCCTCATTCACTCTGTTCTAAAGTGTTCTCCCTTTTCATGTTGTTCAAGAACGCTCTCCTTCCATTTACACTGGTTTTAAACGTGTTCCATTCACGGTGTGAATTTTCTCCCACCTTCTCACTGTCCTAGAATGTTCTCCACTTGTTCAAAGACAGTTCTCCAATGCTCTCCTTCCATTCACACTGCTTCTCAATGTCCTTCCCATTCAGAGTGTGGCTGTTCTTCCCTTTTCACACTGTTCTACGATGCTCTCCTCCCATTCCTGCTGCTTTTGAATGCCCTTCCCATAGTTCGCAGTGTGAATGTTATCCCTGATTGACACTGTTCTAGAATATTCTACCTATTCAGTGTTCTATAATGCTCTCTTCCACTCATACTGTTCTAGAATATTATAGAATATAGAAAGGTCTCCCTATTCACTACTGTTCTAGAACAGTAGCCTTCATTGTCCAAGAACATTCTCTTCACATTCTAGAACGTCCCCCCGATTTCTTACCTGTCCTCCCATTTACACTGATTTCACAGTAAGAATGTTCTCTCCTGATTAATACTACACTAGAACATTTGCCAACTCTCACTGTTCTAGAATGTTCTCCCTGTTCACATTACTCTAGAAAGCTCCTCCCCCAGACATTTCTTAAGATTATATAGAAAAACGTGAAATATATCTAGTAATATATCTTCACAATGATTGAATGACGCAAAAAATGATGAAAAACTACAGAATCCCTCTTTAATCTACTCACCCTGTCGAAGGGGATGCTGTACTTCTTCAGAATGGAGGGAGAGATGAGGGTCATCTTGTGACGAAGAAAAGCATCACAGCCCTGAGAGCTGCCTGGGAAAAACCCTACAAACGAGGTAAAGTGGGGGAAAAAATGACCATAAGTAAATAATCATGTGAAAAACACTCATTTAAAAACAATTAAGCACGAACACAACAAAGTCACACTGGTTTAAAAACTTTACTTTAGTGCCTCTAAAAGACAACCACTACTTTTGAAATGAAAAGAAAAGAAGAACAGAAAACTCATAGAAAAACATTCAGAATCTCACACTTTCTTTTCAGCAGATCTGAAAGATAAGAACTTCTTCTGAAATAGAAAGAAATAAAGACTAAAATTCTAACTGGGGGGTCAAAAGATTTCATTTAGAGAACTGTGTTGTTATTTTCCTTCCATTCGACTTGCATTCCTGCGTAATACACTTTGAGATGTAACTAAAGCTTTGGGTTCACTACATGACTTTTAAAGTCTTAACAGATTATAAAAGACTGGGCATCTCGTACAATCATACTGGTGTTGCAGATTTCTTTGGGCAACTGAAATATTGGGGATCACACACTGAACGATTAGGGATGACGCATTACTCAACTTTTAAGCTGTTGCTGAAGCGAACGGGGCTCACTGTACTGAATGTACGCCAAGTCTCGCAAACTCCCATTACTAAGAGACCCAAATAAACAAACGTGGAGCTGCCGCTGCTGTTTATCTGCCGTTCGCACCGACACAGTAAGGAAGCAGCAGGTAAACATGTTTAAGTGAGGATCATGGATTTAAAATGTGATCAGTCTGGTATTTTTTTTTTAGTTTTAAATGTGACTCGATTGTGCTCATGTCTTAAACTCAGCTCATTAAAAAGCTTCGCTCCACACGTGAGTGACTTCACCATTTTTATTTATTTACTTGCTGTATTTTCTTCTTTCATGCTCTCAGTTTTCATTGGCTGTTGCAGGAGTCTGTTCAGATTGAGTCATAAATCAGTTTACACTGGATTTTGCTCAGAGTCGAGTCAAAAAAAATCAAACGTTTGACGTACTCCGACTGGTCTGAAACGCGATCGGGAGGCTGTAAATCGGAGTCTGCACCCCTCAAACACGACTCGACTTTCTCTCTAACTGTCGACTCCGACCGACCCAAAAATCTGCAGACTAGAGCCGACCAGCACAGACTCAGCCAGACTGAGAATCGGGGTAAAAGTCGTGTTGTATAAACCCGGCTTAACATGAAACTTGCTATAAAAATAAAAACTTATGAGAAGGTAACAAGAACAGGAAGAATGACTGCATGATCAAACCAGGAGAAAGAAAAAAAAAAAGGCAGAAAGAGAAAGAATGAAAGCATGAAAGAGGATAAATACAGTGCGTACGAAGGAGAGTGAAAGGCAGTGTGTGTAATACTGTAGGTAATTGCAGGTTATAGAGGTTATCTCTAAGTGCTCTTCCTGTGTCCAGCTGAGTCTGTGCGGGTCAGTGCGTGTGGTGAACGCCAACTCGGCCAGAAAGCCTTTCTTCATCATTATCATCATTTCCCCCATTCTACCTCCGTACTAACACAGTGATTCACACTGAGTCAAGCTTTATGCAGTCCACAGTTTACAGCACTACACCTGATGACATCTGCCCTCCGTTCCATTTCTTTCTCTCATTAACGTCCCTCCACCCTGCCCAACTCTACATCTGCGTCATATGTACGCAACAAAAGAATTCACTCACTGAAGGAAGTGTAGAGCGTAGAAAGTTTAAGAAGGAAATGGACTAACCCTCTTACGGATGTCCGAACGTGAAGTCGGGAACGATTGGTTAACGCTCTGGGTAGCTGACAACAGGGAATTTAATCAATTTTTTCTGCACAATTTAATTGTGAAACTACATTTAACAATTTGCAAACTACATCATTCAGAGTGCTTTGGTGTGAAATGCTCTACTAAAGAGAGACTGAAACTAAGGTTACATTTACACAGCAGGTAAAAGTGGCCCAAATCTGATTTACTCACCAAACCCGATGTTTTTGTTTGGCTGTTCGCATTATCTTTTAAATGTGTCCTGTGTGCGACATCAGTCTGAACAGATCAGCTCCTAAACCGACCAGCATGCGCAAAAGAACAGTGCTTCGCGTGGCGGTTCGTCCACAGGTAAACAGTCATGGCGGCCAGTGAACGCCTGTCGCTCTCGCAGCTTTCAGTTTCGTCTTCGTCAGCATCGCATGAGCGAGTATAAAGTTCCAGCGGTTGACAGCTGGACTCATCACCCAGTGTGCACTTCTTTGGTTCGTGTCCTCGGATTCTTTAAACTGTTCTCTGACGCTGCAGCCTCGGTCTCCCCCGGCCGTGTTCGGCGTTTCGTTCTAAACCTTTTCAAATATTGAAGGTTTGATGAGTCTCTTCTAATTTTTTGGTACAGAAACATCAACCTAAATGTTTGAGTCTCAGCAGCGCGAAATTATGATGAATGTCGAATTGTACTGACGTAAAAGTCGCATGAATTCTGATCTGGCTGTTCAGGCAGAGTCGCATTGCCGCAGATCGGATACGTATAGGATTTCAGTACCACATATGAAAGCGTCTCAAATCGGAATTGAAAATGTCAGGTTCAATGTGTTCTTTGCTGTTCACACAGCCACACAGATGACACATCTGTGTCACATTTGAGGAAAAAGATCAGATTTGGGCCACTTTTACCTGCTGTGTAAATGTAGCCTAAGAGTCAGAACTGTTCACAGTGATGGTGATGGGAACCAGATATCCACCTCTAAAAGCTCCCTCACAGAAAGTTATTAATGAAATGGTTATGAATACTTCACATGACTCCTGAGACACTAGCCATGTTTACATGTAGCCTGATAATCTGTAAGTAATCCAACTAATAGCTCAATCGGAATAGAACACGTCCATGTAAACGCCTCAATCAGAATAGACTAGTCTGATTGAGGCCATTCGGAATACAGTTTCTATCCGATTGAACGAGGTGGGTAATCCTGTAAATAATCTGTTAAATAGAAGAATAATAACTGTGTAAACGCCTGTATCTGATTACATTCCCTATCAGAAAGTTTAAGTCCGTTCTGATCATGTTCGTCACGTCATTGCAAAAGTTTATCATGTTCAACATGGCGGAGCAGAAACTGGTCTGGAGAGGAGACGAAGTTTATGCTCTGATCTTTAAAAGACGGTGGTGGGACGGACGTCCAGCTTATGTGTCTCAGAACACGACATCTTCCTCTCGGCCTTCTTTAATAAGGACATGTGAAGGACGTTTTCCTGAGTCTGACATCATTTTAAAGCAATTAAAAACACAAGCACTGCTCACTGCTGCTCGTCTCACTCTGACTGGACTCAGGTGATGCTGGTTGTCATGGTAGCATCTACACTAAGCAGTTCTCTATGCATGCGTGTAATTTTGGATCGGATTACTTGCAGTGAGCATGTAAACTAAGATTTTCATCAGATTGTTGAGTAGAGTGAGAAACACCTCAGTCTTAATCTATAATCAGAATATGTTCAATTAGATTGGAAGAAATATTTGCACATAAACACAGACACTGTTTGACAACAGTTCTGAGACAGATCTTTGGCCTAAAATGTCCTAGTTTAGGAGGTACATGCAGGGTGTTGTAAGGCAGCTTCACTGATTATAACAGGAGTGTTCTAGTTTTGCCATGTTCCTTCGCTTGCTGTCAGGACGAGGTGTTAAATGTTTAAATGTTTAACTGTTCGACGTCAGTGCTGGACTGAAAATAGTCCGCCAACCAAAAATATCCAGGCAACAAGAAGAGGATGAGGAAACCAAGAAAGTGACCACTGATAAAAGACTAGAGGATGCCTAACAAACTGTGCAGCAACAGATGGGCTATCGTCTCCAGCTTGACATCTACAAGGTGGACCAACAAGGCCAGAGTGTCTAATAGAGTGGACAGTGAGTGAACACTTGTTTAAAAACTCTGACATGTCCAATCCACAACCAGCGTAATACACGCTAACATGGCATTTATGACAACTGTGCGGTTTTATATACCAAACCAGTCCTAATTCATTTTTATATGACCTTTTCCTAACCTCTCTTTATCCATTAGAATATAACAGACTGTTTGTGCCATTTAGGGATGATGTATGCTCTGTTCTGATTGGCTGTGCTGTATTGTGCACTGTGCTCATTCAAAAAGTAGTCTGGGCTGAAACACTCATAACTTCAGGGTGAATGGGTGGGGATCATAGAACTCATAGTATTCGACTGCATCATTAAGAAGACCACGTCGCCATGTTGGTAGGTGAGGTGCAACTCTGTGCTCTGATGGAGCTCGTCTCACCACTGTCGATACAGCCCTGCAGGTGGATAACCAAGCAAAACAGACCAGAATAACCACAAACAAGATGAAAAGATATGTAGACACTTCAGATGCATCTCCAAAGAATGTAACAAGGAGAAGTTTAGCTAGACTGGTGGACTGGATCCGCATAACCCGTATTTCTCCATAGTTTAGAACATTCCAGTGTGGGAGATTCTACAAAACTAATCAAAGTGGCTTCCAAAGCTGCCACAGCTCTTAAATAATAAACTCATACACATATATAAAGCTCAGCTTCTTATTCACTAGCTTGTCATTTTAATTGTCCATTCGACCTTAGATGGTGCTGCAGTTACACCGAGGTGCCGTTAATGTAGAACGAGTTTCGTAAGTCGGCAAAAACACAACCAACATCAGCTGCTTGCCTCAATAAATCTAGCAATTTACCTCAGTAAATGCATCCTTAATCAGCAAACACCTCAAACTTTACTGAGCAGCTAGTGAGCAGCACAGCAGAGCAGCTGTTGAACATGTCTCACTGGCTGATCTAATGCTGCGTCCCAAACCCAAACCACACACTTCTGTACTTCACCTCCTACACCAATGAGTGCACTTCTAATATTTTATATATATATATATATATATATATATATATATATATATATATATATATATATATATATATATATATATATATATATATATACATACATATATGTGCTACGTTTTGTGCACTTCCGCACTCTCTTATTATAAACCGCCACAGCAATGCTGAATGAACTTGATGTTGACTACCAAAATGGTGGCAGCGAGATTGTGATGTCATTGGAATACTGTCAACAGGTGGATGTATGTATGAACAGGTGAATTCAAAGCAGGCTTTTTTTGCAGCTAAGTTTCTTTATATAGTCTGTCAGGATGGGGGACATTCTGAAACTTCAATGTTTACATTCTTTTTAAACTCTCATCTTCTGATTTTAAAACTGAGGAAAATCTGGTTTTCTATGATTGGGGCCCTTTAACACCATGGAGTTGTGAACATAAACTGAGATGTAAGGAAGATGGTCAGCTAATCGTTTTCTGATGCAATATCTACGATGTATTTCTCTTTCTCTCTTCCTTTCTTTTTCATTTTTCATCAAGGCTTCTTGCAGCTTCTCGGCTCATGCTGAAACGCTGCAGCAACTCACTCATGAGTGGTATAACCGGAAAAAAAAAAATAAGATGTGAAACTCTTTTTACCAGCGGTTGCAGCAGCTAAACCAGAGATTTCTACCAAGACATAAGAGTCTTATGTTGTGGTCACATCAGATTCCTGCCTCACTATTTTCTTTGGTGGGATGAAGGAAAATATCAGACGATCAGGGGTCATCCTGACATGCTTCTAAAGAGAACACAGCTGTTCAGTAAACAGCCCATGTTAACTACACTGTTAGAAATAAAGGTTCTGTGCAGGTACATTTCTCATTCATCAAGGTACAAACAATGTAAATGCTCCCTCAAAGGTACAACATGGAATAACAAGAAATAACAACCCTGCCCATTTATTTTCTATTGGCTCACACTTTCAAGGTTTGCAAATTTGTGCATAAAATTCCACATTAAGAGTAATCTGAAGCTGTCTGATGTGAAATTCTTGCAATTCTAGAAAAACCTTCACAGTGGTGGTGATAAATATCAGATGCCCAAGCATTTAAAGCCTAAAAGCTACCTCACCAAGTCTGTAACATACATAAAATAGCTACAAATATGTTGACTGAAGCCTGGGTCACTGTTTTATGATAGTTGTGGCCTAAAACATATTTTTACACACCTGCAAAGAACATGCAAGACACTGTGAGGCAAAATAGTCCCCAAAGAAAACATACTAATTCACGTTTGCCAGCAACATTTCATATAAACACTCAGGAGATGCGTGTAGGTTCACTAGTGGTTTTGTACAGAAAATAAAATGGCTATGTTTGTGTGGTGGACATCGCGCCCCCTGGTTCAGAGTTGTGCACATCTCAATATTTAGTGCATAATAATGTAAAAATTTCAAAAATCGGTGAAATTCCCCTTCAAAGTTAACCTAGCTGAACTCAGCTTGCTATAAAGTTGAACTGCTACAGGAAATTAATTCACTTTTTGCTTTCCTGCAGCCTTTCCAATTCAAGTGATTTTCGCCAGCTGTGTTTGGACTGACCGCAGCAGTGGCCTGACCACTGGCTGTACTTTCATGTAACAGAGATGATTTCATCAGCGGTGTATAATGATCTTGCCACCTTTGGTTTGAACTATTCCGTTAAAGTGATATTTACACAAAGCTCCTTTTTTATTTGCAGAGATGCTGAGGGAAGATAACCCAGGTGAGGAAAGAGGCAGATAGAGGCGGATATTAATCCACATTAGGATGCGGCTGGCGTTCCGGAGCTTTCCCTTGAGGGATATTAACCTGAAGCTTCGTTTTGTCTTTTAAGTGGGATATTAAGCTGAGTAAAAGGGGAGCGGAGACAGAGCAAAGCAGACGAGAGCGTGGCCCTGACTGGCTAATGTGGGAGAGGTGATAGATGTGGATATAACTGCACTACAGCGCGGCCACATTAGCAGAAGCCACTGCAGCCATGGGAATGTGTTTAAGAGCGTGTGCGTGAGAGAGTGAGCGGACGTGTAGGTTCACTGGTAGCTTTGAAGTTATGTGTTTAGACATTGTGACCCCTGGTTCCCATCACCACCACTGTAAAGAAATCTGTAAGTTTCTCTACAATGAACCATTTCACATCGAACCACTCTGAATGAGCTTGTCTGCATCCCAACAACCGTGTTATACAGAAACTTAAATAAATAAATAAACAAAATCAGTAGAATTCCCCTTTAACACCTGTAGATGGCAGTATGGCAACAAAACAGATGTCCAGCAGGTCTTGTACCGCTTTTTCTACAGCTTCCATATGCAGCTCGCTGGTTGCTACACATTCATCAAGGCAGGGATCCTGTTATTTGTTGAGTCTTATTATTGTGATCTAATCGGATAGTGATGCATCATGATATACTGAATCATATCTTGGACGAGTTGTGTGCTACTGTTTACTCATTGGCCACTCACTCTTTCAGCCTCTTTAGCTCCCTTTTAGAATCCTCACCCCCTCTCTCCCCCCTAAAGTTACCCTGTCTCTCTCTCTTCCCTCCTAGTCATCTCCCTCTCTCTCACCCAAGTTACTGTGTCTGTCTCTCTCTCTCTCCTAGTATTCTCACCCTCTCTCTCCCCTCGTCATCACCTCCCCCCAAGTTAGTCTGTCTCACTCTTCTAATCTTCTCTCCCTCTCTCTCCTCCCAAGTTACCCTGTCTCTCTCCCTCTCCCCTAGTCATGATCTCCTCGTCTCTCCTCCCATTTTACCCTGTCTCTCTAACTCTCTCTCCCCTAGTCATCATCTCCTTCTCTCTCCTCCCATGTTACCCTGTCTTTCTCTCTCTCTAAGCATTCTCACCCTCTCTCCTCAATCATCTTTTTCTTCTCTTGGCCTCTCTTGTTCTTTTTCTTTTGTAGTCATCTTTACTCTCTCTTACTCCCCTAGTCCTCATCTCCCTGGTTCTCTTTCTCTCCCAGTCATCCTCTCCCTCTCTCTCCCCTCCCTTTTTTCTCTCTCTCTCTCTTTTTCCTCCCAGTCAACCTCTACCTCTCTCTAGCTCTTTCTTTCCTCCAAACAGATCACTCTCTGCCATCTACTCTCCGGATGGTCACTGCCAGGCGGAACGTGTGGAGCATCTGCCGTCTCTGTGGTTTTCTCGTGGCGCGGGCGTTAAAGATTCGGCACTGAGAAAGTGTGACATCTGTTCATGCAATTTTCAGGAAGACGAGAGCACTTTTTATTCTTCCCTTTAACCATCCGCTGAGGGCTCTCTAACTGCAGAGGTACAAGCCAGAAGCAGGAGTGAAGTCACAGAGCCTGAATAGAGCGGTAATTACAGGGGTCTGAGAGACGAAAGCTCTGAGTGCTACTTCGTCCTGAGACGTGACAGTGCGCTGGTCACCGAGTCAACGACACCAGCATCGCTCTCTAAAACTCATCGAGCGTAAGAAGCAGTGAAGTGAAAGAGTGAGGCGTTACCTTGCGCGAGTCTTTCCAGCCTCTTTCCGTGTTCAGGAGGGATGGCATACCTGCGGGAGGAGAAGAGAGAGATGCAGCAGTTATTGAGACGAACAGAACAAGACAGCAGGGAGAGCCTGTGTTTGGGACACACACAGTTTTAATCCCCTCAACTCCCACTTTACTGTTCGTGGATTAAATCATCTGTAAATGCAAACAGAAGCTTATGAACCTTCATTGCTTTGCTTTGTTGTTTGGGAGGCACATTCTTAGCTTTGAAGTCATTTTGAACGAAAATTTACCTTTTCACCTACTTAGTTTATGTCCCTGGTCATATTAAGCATGATTTTAAAATGAGTAAATCATTAAAAATTTTTTCTGATTTTCTGTAATGTTCAATCAGAACGTAATGACTTTTGCCCGCCTCTAAAACGTCTTCTGATTTTTGATTACATCATCATGCGCCAGCTGGCAAAGAAAAATAATATCAACCAGTCATACCACGGTTCACTTCCCCTCCTCGATACTGTGCACGGACACTGATGGACACTTTTACATACCACTTGTGATACGGTGACAAATGTATATACACCAATCATGCGTAACGTTATGACCACCTCCTTGTTTCTACGCTCAGTTTTTAAAGAGTTTAAACACCTCAGTGTCACTGCTGGACTGAGAATAGTCCACCAACCAAAAATGTCCAGCCAACAGCGTCCTGTGACCACTGATGAAGGACTAGAGGATGACCAACACAAACTGTGCAGCAGCAGATGAGCTATCGTCTCTGACTTCACATCTACAAGGTGGACTGACAAGGTAGGAGTGTCTAATAGAGTGGACAGTGAGTGGACACAGTGTTTAAAAACTCCAGCAGCACTGCTGTGTCTGATCCACTCAGACCAGCACAACACACACTAACACACCACCACCACGTCAGTGTTACTGCAGTGCTGAGAATGATCCACCACCCAAATAGTACCTGCTTTGTGAGGGTCCATGGGGGTCCTGACCACTGAAGAACAGGGTAAAAGGGGGCTGACAAAGTATGCAGAGAAACAGACGGACTACAGTCTGTAACTGTAGAACTACAAAGTGCTCCTATATAGTAAGTGGAGCTGATAAAATGGACAATGAGTGTAGAAACAAGGAGGTGGTCATAACGTTACGCCTGATCGGTGTATATTATTCCCTCAAAACTGCACACGCACAACACTTCCTTCTCTAGAACTAAGAATGCAGTAATATTCTCCATAGCGATGGGAGATATATCGTCTATACCAGGGCAGTCGATATAGCAAAGATATATCTGTGCCAGTCGCCCCCGACACACCGGCACCGGCGATGGCCATGTGAAAGGGCAGGACGGCAGTGTCCAAGCCTCGCAGACACAGGCCGCAAGCGACAGCAGGAGGAGGACGCCAGCCGCAAGAGGAATGAAGATGGCGCGCAAGTGCCCAACTCCGACACCCAGGCCCCGCCTCCTGTTCCGCGGCGAGGCAGCTAGACCATGCATGTCAAACTGGTATAACTCTGATTACTAGGTGTTGGTTACATTTTTAGCATTATTTTTAATTATACATCTGAAAATGAGCATTGCATCCATGATATAATGCCCATGAAACAGTGAGCTCCCTGTTGCCAAGCAGTTTGTACTAGTTTAGTTCTATTTTGTGTGCTTTATTCATGATATCCAAGACCTGACACGGTTAACCGTAATGTAATTTGCTGCCTCAGACAGGTTTAAAACCCAAACAATTAAAATAAACAGTAGACATGTTTCTGGAATTTTGTTTAACATTTATAATAATGTGGAGGTTGGTAAGACATTTCTTTAGCATAGAGTAGGACCAGTCAGGAAACATTAACAAATATCTAACAGTGATATATTAGGAAAATATCATGATATTGAATTTAATCAATATCTCCGAGCACCAATTCTCCACTCACTCTTCCTCATGTCAAATGAACCAAAATCAAATGATTTACTGGCTGCACTAGTAAATCTCTGACATCCAGCCAGTTTTTGTCGTCATGTTTATTACCACAATTATTTCTAAGTTTGCAGGAAGGCGAAAGCCTCCTGAGACCTTTTGTCGCAAATGTAAAACCTACCTTTCACACTTCCTCTGACTACAGCTCAGTGACGCATGAGGAATAAGAAGTGGGGGTGATGAAGGCTCTCTAAACTTACACCACATTGCCCTCTAGTGGTTCTACAGCAGAATACAAGCACATCTTAATTAAAAGAACATTCCAGTACTTTCTAATCTAATCTAATCTATCTGAAGCATCTTTATTACTATTGACAATATTTTTCAATGCACGTCTCTGTATTTAATAAAAGAAAACCCATAGACTCAAATCACACTTATAGGAGAAGCCAATGGGCAGACGCCAAAGCACCTGAGTAAACAGTATTTCTGTTCTTGTTCTAGATACAGGGTAAGAGAAGGGTGTACCCAGGGCTGAACCATTTGGGGAAAATATCGAGCCCTGATTTTTGTGTCTTTGATTTAAATTGTGATTATTTTCTATAAATTGAGGCCCAGGCCTGTTTTATGGCGAAGAAAACCAGAATATCCCCTTTATCTGGTTTGGGGCTTAAACACTGAAGGTACTATACTGACTGCCAGTGAGTTGTGGTTGTGAAGTCACAGTACATGAGTGGCTGGCTGCTTCATAAGCTCTGTGTTATTAGGTTAAATTTCGCCATTTTTAACTTGCTAAGGCAACACTGGTAATAAGATTGGAGCTCTTGCAATGTGAAAATTGTACTCTTGCAAACTGTGATTTAAGTGGTAATAAAAATGATTCATTTTTCAGCCACTAAAAACCTGTATAAAAGTAAATACTTGTCTTATTATATAGTCAACTCAGCAAAACACACAAAATACAAACTTGCATCATTATGATCACTAATATTAATAATAAAACTAAATAATAATAATAATAATAATAATAATAATTAGTAATGTGCATTTCCTGAAGGTTAAAGGCACAGCTTAAATAGTTCCCACTTTTGTTGTTGCTAGGCGGTTACTATGATATCCCATGTGATTGCTAAGGTGTTGCTAGGCATTTGCTATGGTATCCCATGCGGTTGCTAAATTGCTGCTAGGCAGTTGCCATGGTGTACGGGGTGTGTGTTCAGTCTTTCGTAGGGAGTTACCAACTGACGAACGGGAGTCTATGGAAGGAACGAGGGATATTATGATATCAAATTGTCATATCATTCTGTTACTTTCTGGACAGATAAGAGTCTGTACCGTCCACTCCTAGTACTGAGTAAGGAATATCTGTGGTAACTAATATGTTACAGGTGCAAATGAATGTTCTGCCAATGATCTTTAACATCCTGTACTTGAGTTCAACACCTTTACAATGACAAATTAAAGAATGTGTCAGACCCTCGCTTCAAAAGAAAAAGACCCTACATGGACTAGAGTGTGTCAGCATGTATAAAACACTATCTGCAAGCATTATTGTTAATATAAAGAGTGAGTTATTTAATAATATTACATCATGCACATCCATAGGACCTCACTGGGCAGTGGACAAATGGCCAATAGCTCACCAAAGTGTATAGCAGGTGTGAAAACTGTATGTTTAATCAACCAATCTGAGTTTCGTGCCCATGAGCTGAGCTTTGTTGTCATAGCAGCGGCACGCTCACAGGCTGATCTACGCCTAAAATAAGCTCTACAGCACTAGAGTGCTCACACAACACTATTACATCCACCTAGAGCAGAGACATTCACAGGAAAATGACCAAAGTCAGGCATGTAACCGAAACAGCAGGGCTTTAAAATGATGACACTGATCTCACAGCCACAAGCCTGTTCACTAGAGCTGCACCGATACTACGTTTAATCGTTGAACTGTGATTATTTCTCACAATTTTGCATAGATGCTTTGAACCTCTGTTGTAATATTTATTTATGCATTCACAGTCATTACTGCGTCATTTTCCACAGGAGTAGAGAATTATAGAGACTTTTTAAATTCCACATTTTTCAAAAATTCAGCATAACTGAATCGTTCAGATGCAAATGTTGAGATGCAGTCACTCAGAGTGAAATGCTCCATTCAAGGGAAACTTACAGAATCAGAACTGTTCACAGTAGTGGTGATAGGAACCAGACGTCCACCTCTAAAAGCTCCCTCGCGGAAAGTTATTACATGAAATGGTTATGAATTCACTGCCTGATGCCTGAGACACTGTTTCATGGTGACTCTGAAATAAGCAGTTGGCTTAAAACATTTTTAAAAATACAATAATTGTGTAGAGATACATGCAGGGCACTGTAGGGAAAACTATTTTATCATCAACATCCCATATAAAACTCAGACTCGTGTAGGTTCACTGGTGGTTTTCAATAGTAATTAAAATGGCCATATTTGTGTTGCGATCATGGCGACCCCTGGTTCCTATCAACACCACTGTAAAAACTTTACTCTGTGAATTTCTCTACAACAAATCATTTCACATCAATCCACTCTGAATGACTTTGTTTACATATCAGAAAAATGAACGTGCTGATGTGCGACAAGGGCAGCTGAGAGAGAAGGAGGCAGAAACTTGCATCGAAGGCACTGAGCATGCATAAACATGCTTTTGTATGGCTAATCGAGGGTGAGTAAAGCTCAGACCTGTGAGATAATTAATTAAGTGACCCTCAAATTCCACAATGGGGAAATTCCTCCTCTGCATTTAACCCATCCATGCAGTGAAACACCACATACATACTAGTGAACACACACACTAGGGGGCAGTGAGCTCACTTGCCCAGGGCGGTGGGCAGCCCTATCCACTATGCTCAGTCACGTACTGTCAGCGCAGGGGATTGAACCAGCGACCTTCCAGTCACAAGGCTGGTTCCCTAGCCTCCAGCCCACGACTGCCCCCACCTCCAACCCAGGAGTTTTTTTTTCTCAAAACTACTGTTAAACAAATACATCAAGCAAAGTACCATTCATAACTTTCGGAAGGTCTTCAGACATTTGGTCACCATCACCACCACTGTGAACGATTCTGACTTGGTTTCTCTAGAACAGCAAATCTCACATC